TTCAGTGGCTGCTCCTTATGGAACCTGAAGCTGACAGCGGTCAGCCCAGAAAGAAGGGTGAGGGCGCTTCCCAGCATGGCACCAGGAAGCTTCCCAGACCTTCCCTGGCTGAATCCCCATAATATCTCTAAGAGGTAACCATTACCCCTTTTCTACGAAAAGGGAAACCAAGGGGAAGAAACTGCCCATAGCCTGGCTGCCCAGAATTCACATTTAATTTTTCTAGCAAAGTAGAGCTACCAGGGACCACTTCTACTCCGGTGTGGGAGGAACCGGTGGTTAACGGCATGAGTCCTAGGGTTTGCAGGTATGAACGCACTGCTACACTGAACACAATTAGCTATTTTGTGCTCATCACAGAAACAGAACTTTCTACAAAATATTCCTACAATTAAGGAAAAGAAAAATAATAAAAGACAACCCAAGAAACATGAGATGAGACCCTAACCTCTTCACCCCTTCAATCCTCTCCCAGCTTTGTTAATTTATAGGGATGTCAGCAGTCAGGAGACCTGGATTCTAGGCCTGACCTCTCCACTTATAAGCATGTGACCGTGAACAAGTCCCTCTCTTCCCCTGTCCAGGCCTCTGTTTCCACATCACTCAAATAGGGATAATGCTATCTTCTCTGCCTACCCGCAAGGGTGTTGTAGGTATTCCAACAGAAAATGGGAGCAGAGGTGCTGAAGCACTGTCTGCCTCTAGATTGTCTCCATATCCCTGTATCCGGGGAGGGCGGGGATGATAAGTGGTCCTGGGCAGCTCCCCTCCTAGCACCCAGCTCCTTGGACCTCATCTCCAGCAATCCCCACAATCACCAGCTTTGTGATTTTATGATCTCAAAGCATCCTTACACCCCTGAGACGGCTGATAAGGATAGCTAAGATTAATTCCACTTAGAATATGCCAAACACCCTGTTGGATATTTCATATTCTTTATCTTGAATCATTAAGATAATTATGGATGGCAAGTATTTTATTTTTATTAATCAAATGCACTTTTATTTTTGTGTTTTGTTTTTGTGAATCACATCCTTAAATATAAAAATGGATGTGTTGGTATTGGTCTGATAACAAGGAAAATCAGATAATAAACACCAGTTTAGAAAATAAAGCTCAAGAATAGATGAAGTATGTCAATAATAAAAAAAAAATACAGAGACAGATACAGTGGAATACCACTCAGCCTTAAAAAAGAATAAAACAATGACATCGGTAGCAACATAGATGGGACCTAGAAATTATCTTACTAAGTGAAGTAAGTCAGACAGAGGGGGAAAACTATGGTGTCACTTATATGTGGAGTCTTAAAAATGGCACAAATAAATTTATTTACAAAGCAGAAACAGATTCACAGACATAGAAAACAAAGTTATGGTACCTAGGGGGATGTGGGAAGGGAGGGATAAACTAGGAGTTCGAGATTTGCAGATAAACACTACTATATCTAAAACTGATAAACAAGCCCCTACTATATCTACAGCACAGATAATTATATTCAATATCTTTTAATAACCTAAAATGATAATGATATGAAGAATAATATATATACATCTGAATCAATATGCTATATACCAAAAACTAACAAAACCTGGCAAATCAACTATAATTCAATTAAAAAGAAAGGATTAGAAGAAAAGATAAATGAAGTATGAAGTTCAACGGAGGGAAAAGCATGTTCTTCATAACAAGGTGGGAAATCATCCTTTTCACAGATGTTGGGGGAAAACAGGCATTATCACCCTCATTTCATAATTAAGGAAACTGAAACTCAGGGAGGTGAAGTAACACACAGGCATAAGAGATGTAAAACCCGAATCCAAGGCAAAGGCTTACTAGATTCGAAGCTCATTTTCTTTCAACCACACTACCCTGCTCGCCTCCAGAATCCCTGTCTGCTCTTACCCTCATCAGACTGCCTCCTTTCTCCCGACAGTGGATAACAGTCTGGGATCATGCATAGAAGCAAACAGAACATTCATTATCCCATCTTCCTCGAAACTGGGTGTTTGGAAGGTGGATTATGGTCGGGAGAGAGGTTTTGTGGCTGAGGTAGGTGATGAGAATCAGACTAGAATAGAAGTATCAAAATGGTCAACATGAACACTCCTAGGAGAATGTATGAATACTGCAACATTCTGGGCACAACTCAGTGTTAATTAGCCCAGTAAACATGACTGAACGTCTACTATATGCTGGTGCCTGGACAGTGCTCAGCGGTGGTTCCTGCCCTTGATATACATGTGAGAAGCCTGAGTTCATGGAATGCTTTTGTTAAAATTTAAAATGAAAAAAAAAAAAACCCAAGAGATAAAGCTAATATGGGATATTTACAGACCTAGGTACGAAACAGACGAAGAAGGGAGAATCAGAGCTGGGGCTGCTCTTAATAAACCCATCTTGGTGTTTGTGTGTGACTGTTGGGGAAAGTCTACCAGAACCACTGAATTTAAGAAAGGGGGGGCAGTATAGCTTAGTGGTAGAGCATGTGCTTAGCATGCAAGAGGTCCTGTGTTCAATCTCCAGTACTTTCACTGAAAATATAATTAAATTAGATTAAAAAAAAGAAAGAAAGAAAATGTGTGTGTGGGGGAGGGGTCATCTTTGCTTCTTTCCCATCTTCTGTAGAAGATACCGAGGACAGGATCCTTTCATTCCTTTCCTCCCAAAACTATATGTGGCTGGAAAAGCCTGAGGTTTGGAGATCTCAGAGCACCGGCACAAGCAAGGCCCAGGCACTAGAGCTGTCTGAGCTAAGTGGACACCACTGTATACATCCCTTAGCCCTGAGACACCTTCCCTGTCAGCTTTCCTTTTGCCAGCCTGGGACCCACTGGAATATCAAGCAGGTGGCTCTCAGTTATAGAGGATTGTGGCTACCTAGTCAGTAGCTGGAAGAGTGAAAAGACAGCAAAGTATTTCAAAGCTAAAAAGGCAACCTACTATTTTTACAGTGTCTTACAGTTTATAAAGTTTTGGCATCGACCATCTCATCTATTTAGATTTGATTCTCAGAACGACTTATGGAATAGAGAATTGCCATTATCTCCATTCTAGAGGGGAGGACAGAAGCTCAGAAAAATTGATGCTGTTATTCCGGTATGTTACAGAAATTAGGAAAGCACAGAGAAAGGGCACTTCCCTGAGTGCAATAGGGAGAACCAATCAGAGGAGGCTTCCTGGAGGTGGCCCATGAGCTGAGCAGAAAAACACAAAATTATATTCTAAATAAGTAAAGAAGGGGAGAGTCCAAGTAGATGACTTTACAAAGGTTTGAAAACATGGTGAAAACTGCAGAGGCAAGATGAAGCAAGATAGAGCTGATGACAGTGGTGGTGACCAAGACAACAGCTAACACCTCTCTACACTTATTAAGTGGAGATACTGCTAGAACAGATACTGTTCTAAGTGGTTTATCTACATTAATTCTCACACCTATCTTGTTAGGTAGGTGCTTTTATTATCCCATTTTACATATAAGGAAACTAAGGCACAGAGGAGTTAAATAGCATAACTTAAGAAGTATGCCCAAGATCATACAAGACCTTGTGAGACAGATAACTTAAGTAATATGAGTTTTATCCTAAAAGCCAAGGGGTATCTTCCACTCTGTGCTTGAAAGGTTCTCAGCAGAGAGGAGATGGGCACAGATTTGTGATTTTGAAAGCCTTCTCTCATCCAAGGTAGACTGGGTGTTGGAGAGGGAACAACTGATTAGGTTCCTAGTTCAAAAACCTGGGCATACAGTGAGGGTAGAGAGCAGAGGAGTATTCCCACAACGCCTGGTGCTTGGGTAAGAAATCTGCCCCCTACTCTCTCTGCTTTCTCTGCCGGCTCTAGGCAGAATAATTTACATCCACCTACCCACCTCAGGAATGGCTTGAAAATTAATGGGGTAGAGGCCTGGCTGGCTTTCATGTGTTAAACAACACCCTTGCACCACTGCTGGTGTTCTTTAAATGCTGAACATATAAAACGCGCTTTGACGGAAGAGCCAGGAATAATTATAGTTTGCTAATTACTGTTAATTTTTACCACAGCTTTGAAACCATGGACTTTCTCAATGATTCAAAAGAGAGATGGCAATCCCTTCATCCCACTGAAGTAGCCACACAGAGGCAGAGAAGCAGTTTTCCACAGGCTGCATCTTTTCATTATTTGCAGTGGTTCAGCTACTTGTATGGGACACAGAGAAAGAAAAACAATGATTTGCTCTTTTGGAATCAAACTGTACAAAGAATTCCTTATAGTCTTGCCTTTTTTTTTTTTAAAGAATTTGTTCTTTTCCATCTCTCTATACTGAGTACATGCATAAAAATTATGGGTTTGCATGTGTGAAGGAGCAAAAAAAAAGTGTTCAACAAAACTAATACACTGGCTTCCAAGACACCTGGGTTTTACCCATGGTAAGGCGAGTAACAGAATTGCTCCCTAATCTTTCTTCAGATTCTGCACCACTCGGTTTCCATAGCATTTATTTAAGATCTCAGAACAGCCAGGGAGAATCCCAAAGAAACCCAAAGGAATCTGAAGACATTGATGGCTGGGCGACTTTTAAGTTTCTAAGCCTCAACAGCATCACCTATAAAATGGGTCCTATAGAGAGTCCATACCTGTCAGAACACGACGTGAGGATGAGATAATGTTGGTGAGCTGTAAACGATATCAACGTGTGCTATTAGAATTGCGGAAAGAAGCGAACTTAAAGCAGGGACGGAGGCTGGGAAACGAAGAGAGAAAAACAAAGGGGGAGTGGACAAAAGCGTCACAGTCCCACGCCTTACTTCTCAATACAGTTTCTGAGAATTCCAGCCCCAGAGAGCAGCCGGGACGCCCAAGGTCCTCAGCTGGAGGACGCGCCATGGGCGGGTCCCTCTGCAGGTGGGGCCGGGCGGGCCGGGGGCGTGTCCCCACCGCCCACAGGTGAGTATCGGTTTTCCTTTCCGGGGCTTTCGGTCCGGAATAGACAGGGCAGACTCCGCTCCCCTGATCCTATCGCGGGTGGCGCAGGGCGGGCTGGGCCTTCCGTGGGACAGGGATGGGGACCGGGACAGGGGGCGGGATGTGTCAACCAAATACCAGCGGGTGAGTCGGCGGCCGAACCAGCCGGGCAGGTCCGGCGGAGTATAAAAGCAGGAGGGAGCGGCAGGCGGCAGACGCCAGGAGACCATCCTAGACGGCGGAGCCCGAGCCCAGCAGAGTCCTCCGGCCCTCGCCAGCCCGCGCCCGGTCCGCGCTCCTCCGGCCCACCATGGCCCGGGGCCCCGGCCTCGCGCTGCCGTCGCCGTCGCTGCTGCCGCTGCTCCTGCTGCTGGGGGCGGTGATGGGCCACGCGGCCGCGCAGAATAACTGCACATGCCCCACCAACAAGATGACCGTGTGCGACTGGAGCGGCCCGGGCGGCCGCTGCCTGTGCCGCGCGCTCGGCTCGGGCCTGGAGGTCGACTGCTCCACGCTGACGTCCAAGTGCCTCCTGCTCAAGGCCCGCATGAGCGCCCCCAAGAGCGGCCGCGCGCTGGTGCGGCCGAGCGAGTACGCGCTCTTGGACAACGACGGCCTGTACGACCCCGACTGTGACCACCAGGGCCGCTTCAAGGCGCGCCAGTGCAACCAGACGTCTGTGTGCTGGTGCGTGAACTCGGTGGGCGTGCGCCGCACCGACAAGGGCGACCTGAGCCTGCGCTGCGACGAGCTGGTGCGCACCTACCACATCCTCATCGACCTGCGCCACCGCCCGGCCACCCGCGCCTTCAACCACTCGGACCTGGACGCCGAGCTGCGGCGGCTCTTCCGGGAGCGCTACCGGCTGTCCCCCAGGTTCCTAGCGGCCGTGCACTACGAGCACCCCACCATCCAGATCGAGCTGCGGCAGAACGCGTCGCAGAAGGCCCCCGGCGATGTGGACATCGCCGACGCCGCCTACTACTTCGAGAGGGACGTCAAGGGCGAGTCGCTGTTCCCCGGCCAAGGCGGCCTCGACGTGCGCGTTCGCGGAGAGCCCCTGCTGGTGGAGCGAACGCTCATCTACTACCTGGACGAGAAGCCGCCCCAGTTCTCCATGAAGCGCCTCACCGGAGGCCTCATCGCCGTCATCGTGGTGGTGGTGGTGGCCCTCGTCGCCGGGGTGGCCGTCCTGGTGATCACCAACCGGAGGAGGTCGGGGAAGTACAAGAAGGTGGAGATCAAGGAACTGGGGGAGATGAGAAAGCAACCGAGCTTGTAGGTACCGGCGGCGCGAGGGTGGGCTGGGGTATCGGATTTCGGCGTGGTCCGGGTCCAAGTGAGTCACGCTTCTTGATTCTTGGCCCCAAGGAGACATTTCTCCTCCCATATTTCTGTCTCCCTCCACCGCCACCAAATGTAATAGATCCTGTTCTCAGGATCACCTCCCTTTCTGACTTCTGTCTTAAAGGAAGCATTTCTAAAATTCCCTTTTGGTCCAACCAAACACCTGACTCGAAGAGTTTAAGGGAACTTTGGCATAGGGTTATGTGTTAAGAATCAAGTGACTACATGACAATCCAGCATCGTTTGAAAGTGACACAATCGATGCTGAAGGCTTAAATGCATTAGGATGGGAAACGGCGCTTTTACTGTCTTGGGTTTAAGTTATTTGATTAGCTCCACTTGAATGTGGCCTTCCTGATGAGTTCGCTAATTGGGCCCGTGTAGTAGCCTCATTTACCATCGTTTGTATTACCGACCACTTATGCTTGCCACCGGGAAACAAGCCTATTCCAGCTGCCTGAACACATTTCAGATGTCTTTGAGGACAGACTCTGGCCCAGAAACTCAGCGTCTTTTCTTCAGCTTGCCCTTATTACAGCGGATATTAGTCATGTTTCTTTTGTAAAATGTTTGTACATACGTTGTCTTTGATAATACGGTTGTGATTTTTTTTAAAAAAACACCAATTTAATAAAATGAAAAAGGCACAAACCAGAAGATGGAGTTTGGGAAAATTTGCTTCAGATTTAATATCACTTTGGGCTCCTCTGTCTAATTTCCGATGACTCATACTTTTTAGCAGGATCAGGCATTTCCTGTTGCCACTCTTGTGTGTCTTGAGATCCCTTAACTGGCAGGTGTAAACACACATCTTTCTAAATGAGAATATTTGGAAACCTCCCTCTACTGCAGGAGGGCGGGTCTGAGGGGAGAGGCTAGAACTAGCTGCTATTGTTGGGAAACCAGCCGCAGGTTATCTCTAAATAAGAAAATTCTACCTTTGTTTCTGGAGCTGCATCTCCTTTGAATCCCTTCCCTACTGGGAAGTACCTAGTGCCCTTCCCATTTAGCCCTTGGCAAATGACGTAATCCCAAAGTTTTGCAGCTCTGAGTTAAAACTTCCCCATCTAGTTGCAGCCGGTCTGTAGCTCTGTGCTCTGGCTGTGTGTGTATGGGGGGGGGGGGGTGCGCGTGCGCACGCTTGCCTACACAGGCTGTTTTCCTAATATTTTACTAGTAATGTGCTTTCACATTCAATTATGTGAAGCAAGGTGTTAGAAGGTCACTGTGGGGTAACCTCCAGGTAAACAAGTTGCTGGAGTTGCTGGGAAATTGCTACAACAATGGGCATGGACACAGGAGTGAGTGGTTGGTATAGCCCACAGCAAACAGCTAGATCTAGGACTTCAGCTTCTTCCCCTGGAATCTGTCGTGATCCTCCTCCCACTTCTACTCTGTCGTCTCTGACTACCGCTCAAGACTGAAGCACCAGGAAGAACTGGGGCCAGAGAGCATCAGCCACTGCCTTGGTAGCTTGGGACTGTGGTTGGTGTGTGCTGGTGGAGTGATACTTTACGATCACCAGAGATCTCTGTGTGTAGGCACGCTGTGTGTAAGGAATGTCCATCAGACTCCAGAAGTCTTTTCAGGCTAAAATGAGGCTTAACCAGGGGAGAAGGCTGATGTGGGCTGGCTTCCCTGCAATGGGAAGGATGGCTGAAGTGCCTGAGGTTAGAAAGGGAACCTCAGCAGTGAGAGTGAGACCACTTTCAGGCACCCCGCATACTTCCCATTTCTGGTCCCTTCTCTCAATGAAGTGCCTCAGCTAGAGGGACCTTGGGAGTCACCTCTAACCTACCTCTCATCTTTATGGATGAAAGGGTGAGTGACTTCTCCAGAGTAATGTTTCTGTGGCACAGCTGAAACTAGAAAGTCTCTTGAATCCTAATCCAGTATTTTCCGTACATCACACTGTCATTGTTTCAAGAGTCACTTCAAAAAAACTCTCACTTGACTACCCAGAAAATAAACTGATTAAGGATTGAGTGGGTGGTTGAACAAAGGAAAAAGCCCTGAAAAAGCCCATTCCTCCATAAGAATGTGGCTTCTGGATAATCTCTGCATTCTGGATAAGGAGCCCTTGTCCTTTATTGCACTCAATAGTTCAAAAAGCACGTTCACTCTTACCATACTGAGGTATCGTCTTATTGGTAATGACCCAAGTGTTGACCAGCGTGAGTTCAAATCGTGCTCTACTGTGGGTCTAAGTCACCTCACTCCCCCCAGTTTCCTCATCTGCTGACGTTTCTCTCAATGGCAAAACTTAGATGAGGCAATTGATACAAATGCCTAGAATGATCTTAAATTTTCTTCTTTCCTGGGGATTACATCCATTTCACACGTCAGAAAACAGAGGTCCAAATAGGCTAACTCATGATCACACATCCTGCATGTGGCAAAGCCAGAGTTGAGAGCCTTTGTTTTTGGCTTCCTAGGCCAGGTGGTTGCCCCATGCACCAAGCAGGTTGAGACACCTTTCTTACTTCTTCCAAGGAAGAGCCCCGTCATACTCTGTTCTGTAACTCAGTTCGCCTCTGCCGATCACAGCACTATCCAGGACCGGCTATCTCCAGGGGTTTAGCCTCCATCTCCAGATCCCCTCCTCCACCCTGCCCCAAACTTAACATTTGCTGTTTTGAGCGCAGGCCTGAGGCTGCCCTTGGAAGGAATGTGAGGAGCAGATGTGACTCACCCAGCGAGTCACAGCTTGTCTTCTGAGCCCTGTGGGAGGCTGATCTGATTTCCTTGTTTTGGTCCCCAGGGCTTTCTCCACTCTTGTTATTTCCTTAATTGAAGCAATTCTTTGAATCAGGTAATTTCTCCCTGTGAACATAGCTTTGGCTTCACTATTTTTTCAAATAGGATCACAGGATGTCAAAGCTGGAAAGAAGATCATTTAGTCCAAGACTCCATTTTACAGATGAAGAAACTGAGGCCCAGAGAGGAGAATGGATTTACCTGTCTGGCAGATAGTAGGAGAGCGACCCTACTCTACAGTCACCTCCAGTACCTGACCACTGTCTTGTCTAGTGTCTGTTCCCTTGTCTTCCTGGTTGTTTATTTTCACTCAGTCATTTCTGTTCTTAAATTGTGTGGCTGTTCCTTAGCTTTTTAATATCACTTAAATCACTTTGGTTAAGTGTAAAATGTGTGGGCTTTGAAGTTACCTGGCACTTCAGACCCCTATTTTCTTATTTGTAAAATAGAGTCTTAATATGCTTGGTTTTAAAGATTAGACATAAGATATGAAAAGACTGAGTATGTATTTAATAAATTATCACTCTTGTTAGAATGACATAGCGAGGTCTCCAACACCCAGGGGAAACAGGCTGAACTCTTTCCAATGCCATGCAAACAGCACTTCCTTAAGGGGACATCTCTGTTCCTCCGTGTCTGCTATTAGAGGAATGAGAGCAACCTTTGAAGCTGCCTGTTTATAAAGGTGACCTCACACTGTATTTCTCTCCATTCATTGTCCCATCCCTTTCTGGCCACAGCTGGGAGAAGTTCCCACTTGTGAGGACTCACAGAATTAGGCTGAGTCTAACCACATAATCCAGGATAAGATTATCCTCTCTCAAGTTCTCTAAACTTAATCATATCTACAAAATCCCTTTTGCCATGTAATATAACATATTCACGAATTCTGGGGATTAAGTTCTGGGCACCTTGACAGGGGAGGGCATTATTCTGTCCACCCACAGAGAATGGCCCCCCCAAATCCATGCTCCTAACTGTGATACTGTACTGCCTCTAAAATTGCAGGCCAGAGGGCATTTTTTATTTAGTCACTAAAGAGCTCTTTCCCCCATCACTCTCTCCTCGATCCCTTTTTGAACAACGCCTTTCCAAATAGGAAAATGGACTCTTAGGAGAATTATTTCTGTATCTCACACAGGGTCATGCAGGGTGCCTGGCACCCAGAAGCACTCAGGAAATGTGTGTTGAACTGAACTGATACCAATGGCTGCCATTTACTGAACACATATGATGCACCAAACACTGTCCTACAAGCTTCACCCTGACTGTCTCATCGATTTCACAACTACCCCATGAACATAGATTGTGTTCTTCTGCTGTTCCCATTTTACCTGATGAGGAAACCAAGGCATTAATAAATGACTTGCCAGAAATCGCACAGCTGGTAAGGAAGACAGCTTGAATTTAAATCCAGGCTACCCTCCTCAGTCTGTGCTTTTATCACTATACAATGTTGCAGGGTGAAGAACCGTGTTCCATGCCAAATGGTGATGATGCAAGTTGGGAGGCTTATTCTCAGGGACCTTGGTGGAACCCCTCAAAGGACCACTTGGGAACTTGACAGATCTCTTCTCCAATCAGTAGTGAATCCTGGTGGACGTCTTCCAGTTGTAATTTCCCTCCTGGAACCATTCTCTGTCATTGCTAAATACCATCAGAGGTTTCGTTGTTGCTTTTTATGATGAGCTCTAGGAAGGAGTTGATGGGAGGGTGGGGATGAGTAGGGAACTTAGGTTCATTCACTGTTCAGGAATTGCACTGAACACGGGAGAGCTGTGTCTCCTGACTTCACAGCAAGCCGTGTAGCCTCAGTTTCAGCAGAAATTCTCAGGTCCATGCTGTACAAGGAGGCCAGACCCAGAAGGGTAAGAAGGGAAAGAAAAATGTCCCAGAGTGACAATCCGAACACATTAACCAGTGGTGTGACAGCAGACCGCTCAGCCTACCAATACATCGCATCATGTCTCCTTGGAAGGGCAGGGACAAGAGTCCCTTGACCAGATCAGTTTAACCCTTTAGAAGCCTTATGTTCTCCATAATGGATGTGGCTCAGCCTCTTTGGTGGTCCCACTACTCTCAAGTCCCCTGTTAGCTGGTGCTGTTGGAGGAAATGTCCTTGCACCCAAATATTTTGATGGGAGGCACATTATCACATGCTATCAAAACACAGCTTGAGACAGAAGGTATCGATTCAATTACATCAGCAGATGAAGCTTTATGTCTTGACTGGCTCTTTTTTGCTGTGTGACCTTGACTCTGGTAGTTTACCTCCCTGGGCCTCACATTTACATTGTAAAATGGATCTAATAGTATCCACTCACTCTGGTTCATAGCATTCTTGTCTTCTAATCTCATCTCAATGGGACCAAGGTAAGTATGACCAAGAGGCTGGTTTGACCAGTACTGGCTACAGTTGAAGTGAGTAACTGTGGGTGGTTACCCTGAAACTGGCCCAAATGGGACAACCTGTGTCCTTAGGGATGCTGAGGGTTTATCATTCACTCACTCCTTCAAATACTTTTTGTCTTATTTTATGCCAGATATTGTACTAGTTTGGGGAATATATGATTTGTAGAATAGACATGGTTTCTCTAGGGGGGGCGGTGTGTGTGTGTGTGTGTCTGTCTGTCTGTCTATTTTCTTGCCTATCTGGCATCCCAACAGCCTTCTCAATGAGTAAACACACCTATGATAGGAGTCTTGGCGAGAGGTTGGCTGGTCCTGCTCCTGGCTGATGGAACATGGTCATGTAACCTGGTTCAGCCAATTGAACTCTCCTGCTTGGGATGCTGATCTAGAGGACATGAAGCCATACATCAGGACAATTGATAAATTAGTCATAGCAGTGTCAGCTTCGCCAACAGCACAACTGCTCCATGGGTGTCAACTGTCCAGTG